TAATTTGGAGCTAGGCCTTGCCAAAGAGCCAAACATCCTGGGTTGGCTACACCCACAAGGGGCACACAGACAGGCCCGCAGTTGTGATAGAGAGCCCCCCACCATATGACCGAGATGAGGAAGGTCACTGAGGCAGGGGGCAGAGCTCCCCCACCTTGTGGCTTGTGCTTTCTTAAACACTCAGGCAGCCTTTGCCTGTATTTTAGTTTGAATGAGGACAGTCACACCCCATGGCTTTCTGCACCAGCCAGCCACACCCCTAACAGCCCCCACCTCCTGTCAGCACTAGCTGGGCTCAAGGGCACTGTTTATTATCAACTAGTTGCAATAATTTCATAGTATTTAAATAAAAGTCTGGCTCTGCCCCCGACCCAGCTCTGTGGCCAGGAAAAGCTGTGGAGCCCCCTCTTGGCCAAGACAGGCTGTGAAGACTCAGATCACATGTCCTAGTTGTGCAACTCTAATTGCTGGCATTTGGTCCAGGCTCTTCCCCGGGGATCTGAGGCAGCCTTTAATACAGGGAAATCAGACCCAGTGAACCCAACAGTTAATGGCACGCTATGGGCTACACTTCCAAAAGGGCTCCCCACCCAGATGCTCCGATTCTCCTCTATGGAGCAGGGACAGAGGGTCACCATTGTTTTCCATGGGAGCTGAAAATCTGGCCTTATGGAGAGTGGACTGGAATTGATTCTTCTTTCCTCTACGCACACTTCATGGAAAGCAAGATGCCTGACTCAAGTAAGCAAGTAATGTGGGAGGGGAGTGAGGACAAGGGGCAGAAACTAACGGAGGTGCAGCAGGTGACAGGAGGTGAGAATGTGGTGGCAGTGAAGTGAGGGACATGAGTCAAAGGGACATGTAAAAATAGATCCAGCTGCTGCAGAACAGTAGGGTATGGCAATGGGTCAGTGTCCACCTTCCTCCCTGCCTTGAATCACCGGTGCTCTGATACTATAGTACCTGGGCAAGCAGATGGAATGGAGAATCACAGCAACTCCCCAGGGCCTTCCTTTGGGGCCAGACAGTATTCCAACAGTAAAAGGTCTGACTGCAGGTGGGTGCCTGTATGCACATTTTTGTTCCTGTAACACTTGTCAAACTCATACCTGAACAAGAAACAGAGGGAGAGGAACCTCTTCGTCCCTTCTCTCCTCCTGGCCAAGACCAGCTCTCTGATTCCTGCTGTAGCATGTTACCTAGCAAGCTCTTCAAGGCAGGAGACAGAGCTTTGCTCTCCTCAGAATGCACCCTGGAGCTACAGGCATGTTACAGAGTAAGAGTCACCAACAGTCTCCACAGACAGCAGCCTCTGACACATTCCAGAATGGGGCTCAGATTAGGCTACAGAAAGGTAAGATGACAACACAAAATCCATATCTCTTGCGGCTTTGAGGAGCTGAAGACTGAAAAGATGAAACAATGTCAGCTCCTCTTCCCACTGTCACTTTGTCTTTGAGGGTACAGATATAGACTGGCCAGACTTTTCACCGCTACAGGCCCTCTTGCAGAACAAGGTCCTCGTACATAAGGTAGCACTTCAGTGGGGGTGGGAGATCAAATCCCCCAATGGCTTCAAGCCTCTGATGCCCAAGGGCGGTTCGGATATGCAGGCAGCTGAGGTGTTTCAGGGAGCGTGGCTGCTGGCAGCAGGATTCAATCCAGGATATCAGTGCAGTTTGTGAGACCAGACGCTTAGGGGAGGCTCCTGTCTTCTGAGATAGGAAGAAAGCAGCTGGGGTCAGGCTTTGTTCTGGATGAACATCATCTGATAAACAAACTGAGGGAGGAGAGTGGGGCTAGAGGGTGAGGGCAGGTGCTTGGGGAGCACGGCTGAGGTAGAGAAGGTGGGGTGGAGCTGAGGGGTGAGGAAAGCCAGGGGATAATATTAAGGGCTGGTGCTGTGAAAGGCCACATGGGGTTGAGGTCGAGCAAGCAAAGTCAGCGTTTAGAGTGAATAAATACTCAAGCAGAAGGGTCTCAGCGCACCTGCTTTGACTAGCAGGGAGGGGGTTAAAGCCTAAGCACAGCATGCTGGGAAAGGGTGTGAGGTGGGGTGAAGGGAGTCACTGGGGGCAGAAGACGACTGTGCATACGGTGACCAGACAGCAAGTGTGAAAAATCGGGACAGGGGTGCGGGGTAATAGGTGTCTATATAAGAAAAAGCCCCAAATAAAGGGACATCTGGTCAACCTAACTGTGCACGTGAGGGGAGTTGCTGGGATGTCCCATAGAATATCAGGGTTGGAAGGGACCTCAGGAAGTCATCTAGTCCAACCCCCTGCTCAAAGCAGGGCCAATCCCCAACTAAATCATCCAAAGCCCACTCCTTTGAGCCAGAGATGAACCAGCAACCTAAGGATGAGGGAGGGAGGCTCGGACCATGCCGAGAGGGAGGGGGTAGGGGACAACTGCATGTCCAAGAGGAGCTGCTGCGACATCCCACACCCATAAGAAGAGGGGTGGGGGATGACTGCACATGTGAGGGGAGTTGCTGGGACCGCTGAACTTTTTGAATTTCAGCATGAATTCACACTAAAACACAAAAGGAACACCCTGGAAAAAAGAGAGAGAAATTTTTCTCTAACAACTTTCTGTTAGAACAAACTTACTGGGAGAATATTTGTAACAATAGTAGGTATAATATTTTTCAGAGAGAAATGTGATTCTTCAAATGAATTATGTCATTGTAACAAGGTACGTGAAGCCCTTTGGGATGGAAGGTGCTGGAGCAGGGTCAGATGATGGAACGATTTAACAATTCTTGGTTTGGTCCTAAGGGGAGCACATGATCTGGTCCAAGAGGTGCATATAGCTGGACTGCTTGGTAATAGTGCCCATAATGTAATTAAATTTAACATCCATGTGGCGAGGAAAACACCACAGCAGTCCAACACTGTAGCATTTAATTTCAGAAAAGGGAACTATATAAAAATGAGGAAGTTAGTTAAACAGAAATTAAAAGGTAGAGTGCCAAAAGTGAAATCCTTGCAAGCTGCATGGAAACTTTTTAAAGACACCATAATAGAGGTTCAACTTAAATGTATACCCCAAATTAAAAAACATAGCAGGAGAATCAAAAAAGTGCCACCATGGCTAAACAACAAAGTAAAAGAAGGAGTAAGAGGCAAAAAGGCATCTTTTAAAAAGTGGAAGTTAGATCCTAGTGAGGAAAATAGAAAGGAGCATAAACTCTGGCAAGTGAAGTGTAAAAATATAATTAGGAAGGCCAAAAAAGAATTTGAAGAACAGCTAGCCAAAGACTCAAAAAATAATAGCAAAAATTTTTTTAACTACATCAGAAGCAGAAAGCCTGCTAAACAACCAGTGGGGCCACTGGACGATCGAGATGCTAAAGGAGTACTCAAGGACGATAAGGCCATTGCGGACAAACTAAATGAATTCTTTGCATCGGTCTTCATGGCTGAGGATGTGAGGGAGATTCCCAAATCTGAGCCATTCTTTTTAGATGACAAATCTGAGGAACTGTCCCAGATTGAGGTATCATTAGAGGTGGTTTTGGAACAAATTGATAAATTAAACAGTAGTAAGTCACCAGATACCAGATGGTATTCACCCAAGAGTTCTAAAGGAACTCAATTGTGAAATTGCAGAACTACTAATTGTGGTTTGTAACCGATCATTTAAAACAGCTTCTGTACCAAATAAGTGGAGGATAGCAAAGTGACACCAATTTTAAAAAAGGGTTCCAGAGGTGATACCGGCAATTACAGGCCAGTAAGCCTGACTTCAATACCGGGCAAACTGGTTGAAACTATAATAAAGAACAGAATTGTCAGACACATAGATTAACATAATTTGTTGGGGAAGAGTCAAAATGGTTTTTGTAAAGGGAAATCATGCCTCACCAGTCTACTAGAATTCTTTGAGAGGATCAACAAGCATGTGGACAAGGAGGACGCAGTGAATATAGTGTACTTAGATTTTCAGAAAGCCTTTGACAAGGTCCCTCACCCAAAGGCTCATAAGCAAAGTAAACTGTCATGGGATAAGAGGGAAGGTCGTCTCATGGATCGGTAACAGGCTAAAAGATAGGAAACAAAGGGTAGGAATAAATGGTCAGTTTTTGGAATGGAGAGAGGTAAATATTGGTGTCCCCCAGGGGTCTGTACTGAGCCCAGTACTATTCAACATATTCACAAATGATCCGGGAAAGGGGGTAAACAGTGAAGTGGCAAAATTTGCAGATGATACAAAACTACTCAAGATAGTTAAGTCCAAACCAGACTGCAAAGAGCTACAAAGGGATCTCACAGGATGGGCAAGGATGATGTCCCTAGCCTCTGTTTGCCAAAGGCTGGGAATGGGCAACAGGCGATGGATCACTTGATGATTATCTGTTCTGTACATTCCCTCTGGGGCACCTGGCATTGCCCACTGTTGGAAGACAGGATACTGGGCTAGATGGATCTTTGGTCTGACCCAGTATGGCCATTCCTTTGTTTCTTAATTCTTTACATTTTCAGAGCACCTTCCATCTCAAGGCACTTTACAACTATTTATACAGCTTCACAGACACCCATGAGAAGTGGGAGCTGGAAAATCCAGCAGCATAAAGCAACAGTACAAATCAGTTTATATTAGGAAGTGAAGAATCCCATACCCAATTGAAACTGCAGGGGAAATCTAGGGAGGCAGAATGTAATAATTCACGTGGGCACTGGGGCTAACACTCCAGCTCTTGTCAAAAGCTCCATGTAACCTTTAATGACAAAAGACAGGCAGGACCTTTCTTTTTGTTCTCATATGGAAGCTGGCATCTCCAGAACCATGTTGGGGCATCACTTCAGAGATGACTTACTGACACATCCCATGGCATGTTAGGTGTTCCTATGGTACTCTTCCCCTGAGTGCCAACCAAACCCAATTGTGCTCAGGTTGTGAAAATGGACAAGAGCCCAGCTCAGGGTGGGGCAGTTACAGACCAGGTTTAGAGCATCTCATGTGCCTTTGTGAATGTCTCCCTGAAACTTAAATACCTTGTTCTTGTAAGTGATGTCAGCGCCAGCCTGCACCAGAAGCCGGATACACTCTATCTGCCCACTGCAAGCTGCCAGGTACATGGTCACTCCCCAGTTATCCTGAAGGTTCACATCAGCACCATGCTGAGGGAAGGGGAGAAAACAACTCCATTTTAAAATTACATACATGTCTGAATTACCAAAAAGCTGCAATAATCAGGCCTGGCAGCCAGACACACAGGCACCCCCATGCCCGCTCTGTAATGGTCACTAAGTCCTGAAATTAATGGTGGTGCTAAAGATCACACACAAAGGCATATAGCATATAGTACAGGCCTGAGCAGGGAGAAAAGTGAGCAAGCCATGAGTGACTGAGTGAGCTGTAGCTCACGAAAGCTTATGCTCAAATAAACTGGTTAGTCTCTAAGGTGCCACAAGTACTCCTTTTCTTTTTGCGAATACAGACTAACATGGCTGCTCCTCTGAAACCAGAAGAAAACTGGGGTTCTCAAACTGGGGGTCGTGACCACTCAGGGGGTTGCGAGGTTATTACATGGGGGTCACAAACTGTCAGCCTCCACCCCCAAACCCTGCTTCGGCTCCAGCATTTATAACAATGTTAAATATTAAAGAAGTGTTTTTAATTTATAAGGGGGGGGGGGTCACACTCAGATGCTTGCTGTGTAAGAGCGGTCACCAGCACAAAAGTTTGAGAACCTCTGGCCTAGTAGCAGGGAAAGTCTTTGGGTTTCCTTGCTAGAGGTGAAAATAGTCCTTGAGTTGCTCTATTTCCTTCTCCCAGCCCCAGCTCCACTAGTCACTAACTGTTTTGTATCTTTCCCATCTGCTGCCTGTATAATCAGATCCCCTTCAGATGCACAGGGAGCTGCTGCTACTCACCCACAGTGTAACCTGGGCAGTAGATCTGAGACGTTCATAGGAACAGATTATAAAACAACTACTTATTTTGGCATTCTTGCACATTCCTCTGAAGCATTTGACGCTGACCACTGTCAGAGACAGGAGATTGGACCAGGTGGACCCTGGGTCCAATCCAGTGTGGCAATTCCTACATTCAGACATCAGGACAGAACCCAAACTAGATCAGAGTTCTGCAACTCACTTTAGTAATGATCCCAGTTTGCCACGTACTCTGTGTGTCTGATTGCACAGTAGAGGGTCCCCAAGCCAAACAGGGCAGCCTCAGAAGAACTTCAGGGGACATATGAGTTATTGTAGAAGGGTTATTATAGAAGGAATCATAGAATCTCAGCGTTGGAAGGGATCTCAGGAGGTCATCTAGTCCAACCCCCTGCTCAAAGCAGGACCAATCCCCAACTAAATCATCCCAGCCAGGGCTTTGTCAAGCCTGACCTTAAATACTTCTAAGGAAGGAGATTCCACCACCTCCCTAGGTAACGCATTCCAGCGTTTCACCACCCTCCTAGTGGAAAAGTTTTTCCTAATATCCAGCCTAAACCTCCCCCACTGCAACTTGAGACCATTACTCCTTGTTCTGTCATCCGCTACCACTGAGAACAGTCTAGATCCATCCTCTTTGGAACCCCTTTCAGGTAGTTGAAAACAGCTATCAAATCCCCCCTCATTCTTCTCTTCCGCAGACTAAACAATCCCAGTTCCCTCAGCCTCTCCTCATAAGTCATGTGTTCCAGTCCCCTAATCATTTTTGTTGCCCTCCGCTGGACGTTTTCCAATTTTTCCACATCCTTCTTGTAGTGTGGGGCCCAAAACTGGACACAGTACTCCAGATGAGGCCTCACCAATGTCGAATAGAGGGGAACGATCACGTCCCTCGATCTGCTGGCAATGCCCCTACATATACATCCCAAAATGCATTAGCTTTCTTGAGCAGGACCTGCCTTGGTCTCTCATTAGCTTTTTGGAAGCTTCCCATCATTCTGTTTCATTATTTAAATAAAAACAACTGCTTTAATATTTGTTTCCCATCCCTGCAAACAAGAGACTCATCCCATCTATCTCAGTGGGACACTGACAAGTCAGAATTACAAGCATCTGGCACAGAATGAGGATTCACATGGGATGTCTCTAATGCAGTGATACTCAGACCCCAGTGGGTCACGAGCCAAATTAGTGATCAACATTACCCAAAAGAGCCACAGAAGTGAGAATTCATTGAAAGCATCCTGATTGGTTAATAATTAAATCACATTAAAGGAGACATATTAAAGAGCCACTTGCAGCTACCAAATGTCTGCCTGAGTGTCACTGCTCTACTGTGATAAATCCCCTCCTATTAGCACTTTGAGACCAGCTTTACTATATTTAGTAGGTGTTACTTTTACTTCAAGGAAGGGCTCCACATTTCTTTGCTAGGGATGGGGGGAGGGGACGAATGCTTCACTTGACCCACTTTTCCTTGCTGAGGTGCCCTGGATCTGACCCCCTATCCAGATGTTCAAGGCCACAGCTGAAATGTGGACTGTCACATGCAGCTGTAGCTGCAAACACATAATACATTATAAATGGCTGCCCCTTGCAAAAGGGGGAAGGATTTTAAGCTGAACATTCTTTGATCACAAATAGCTTCCTAGCAGGGTTGGAAACTCTGTTCTCCAAGATACAAATTAGACACGTGCCCCAGGGTGGAGGATGGGCCAAAAGCTTAGGCTCATATTTTCTAAAGTGAGCGCTGATTTTGTGTACTTGCAGTTTTGGATGTCTAATTGTAAACACCTAAGGCCCTATTTTCAGGTGCAGCTCTCTTGGACTTCACTTGGAGTTGTGGTGCTCAGCATCCTAAGAAAAATCAGGCCCCTATATTCTTAAATTGAAAATCTCAAAACTGAGACATCTATTATTAGTAGCCCCTTTTGCACAATGGGGACCTTGAACTGGGCTGGTTTAGGTGCTGCCCAGTTAGAAGATTTTCCACATTTGAGTTCAGAGACATTCTGAGAATCGCAACAGGAGCCACATCACATGGCGATTAGGTGGCAGTGGATTCAAAACACCTTCCCTGTATCAGCAGCAGAGTGCAGTCTGGGAAGAGGCCAATGGCAGCATGAAGGGGCATTCCTCCATGTATACAGCAAGTGTTCACGCTGGCTCCATGTTGTAGCAGTAACTCCATGGAAAGCTTCTGCCCTTTATACGCAGTCCAGTAGCATGGAGTCTTGCCATAGTAATCCTTCCTGTCAACCAGCTCCCTGTCTAAAAACCAAAGGGACATCATCAGCAAGCTCACAGGGAAGCTGCCTGTAGCACAGAGAAGTGGCCAGGATGGTCTGGCTAGAGGCTGGCATAAACTGGGGTATTTGAATCTTAAACCTTTAAAGAGCAGAGACAGGAGACACTTTTCCTCTTAAAAACAAAAGGAGTACTTGTGGCACCTTAGAGACTAACCAATTTATTTGAGCATGAGCTTTCGTGAGCTACAGCTCACTTTATCAGATGTATACCGTGGAAACTGCAGCAGACTTTATATACACACAGAGAATATGAAACAATACCTCCTCCCACCCCACTGTCCTGCTGGTAATAGCTTATCTAAAGTGATCAACAGGTGGGCCATTTCCAGCACAAAGCCAGGTTTTCTCACCCTTCACCCCCCCACACAAATTCACTCTCCTGCTGGTGCTAGCCCATCCAAAGTGACAACTCTTTACATAATCAAGTCGGGCTATTTCCTGCATAGATCCAGGTTTTCTCACATCCCCCCCACCCCCATACACACACAAACTCACTCTCCTGCTGGTAATAGCTCATCTAAACTGACCACTCTCCAAGTTTAAATCCAAGTTAAACCAGAACATCTGGGGGGGGGTAGGAAAAAACAAGAGGAAACAGGCTACCTTGCATAATGACTTAGCCACTCCCAGTCTCTATTTAAGCCTAAATTAATAGTATCCAATTTGCAAATGAATTCCAATTCAGCAGTTTCTCGCTGGAGTCTGGATTTGAAGTTTTTTTGTTTTAAGATAGCGACCTTCATGTCTGTGATTGCGTGACCAGAGAGATTGAAGTGTTCTCCGACTGGTTTATGAATGTTATAATTCTTGACATCTGATTTGTGTCCATTTATTCTTTTACGTAGAGACTGTCCAGTTTGACCAATGTACATGGCAGAGGGGCATTGCTGGCACATGATGGCATATATCACATTGGTGGATGTGCAGGTGAACGAGCCTCTGATAGTGTGGCTGATGTTATTAGGCCCTGTGATGGTGTCCCCTGAATAGATATGTGGGCACAATTGGCAACGGGCTTTGTTGCAAGGATAAGTTCCTGGGTTAGTGGTTCTGTTGTGTGGTATGTGGTTGTTGGTGAGTATTTGCTTCAGGTTGCGGGGCTGTCTGTAGGCAAGGACTGGCCTGTCTCCCAAGACTTGTGAGAGTGTTGGGTCATCCTTTAGGATAGGTTGTAGATCCTTAATAATGCGTTGGAGGGGTTTTAGTTGGGGGCTGAAGGTGACCGCTAGTGGCGTTCTGTTATTTTCTTTGTTAGGCCTGTCCTGTAGTAGGTAACTTCTGGGAACTCTTCTGGCTCTATCAATCTGTTTCTTTACTTCTGCAGGTGGGTATTGTAGTTGTAAGAAAGCTTGACAGAGATCTTGTAGGTGTTTGTCTCTGTCTGAGGGGTTGGAGCAAATGCGGTTGTATCACAGAGCTTGGCTGTAGACGATGGATCGTGTGGTGTGGTCAGGGTGAAAGCTGGAGGCATGCAGGTAGGAATAGCGGTCAGTAGGTTTCGGGTATAGGGTGGTGTTTATGTGGCCATTGTTTATTAGCACTGTAGTGTCCAGGAAGTGGATCTCTTGTGTGGACTGGACCAGGCTGAGGTTGGTGGTGGGATGGAAATTGTTGAAATCATGGTGGAATTCCTCAAGGGCTTCTTTTCCATGGGTCCAGATGATGAAGATGTCATCAATATAGCGCAAGTAGAGTAGGGGCTTTAGGGGACGAGAGCTGAGGAAGCGTTGTTCTAAATCAGCCATAAAAATGTTGGCATACTGTGGGGCCATGCGGGTACCCATAGCAGTGCCGCTGATCTGAAGGTATACGTTGTCCCCAAATGTAAAATAGTTATGGGTAAGGACAAAGTCACAAAGTTCAGCCACCAGGGTAGTAGATAGAATACCCCTTTTCTCTTGGGTAGTAGATAGAATATCCCAGGTCGGGGTTCCAGGGGTGTGTCTGTGCGGATTTGATCTTGTGCTTTTTCAGGAAGTTTCTTGAGCAAATGCTGTAGTTGCTTTTGGTAACTCTCAGTGGGATCATAGGGTAATGGCTTGTAGAAACTCGTGTTGGAGAGCTGCCGAGCAGCCTCTTGTTCATATTCCGACCTATTCATGATGACAACAGCACCTCCTTTGTCAGCCTTTTTGATTATGATGTCAGAGTTGTTTCTGAGGCTGTGGATGGCATTGCGTTCCGCATGGCTGAGGTTATGGGGCAAGTGATGCTGCTTTTCCACAATTTCAGCCCGTGCACGTCGGCGGAAGCACTCTATGTAGAAGTCCAGTCTGCTGTTTCGACCTTCAGGAGGAGTCCATCTAGAATCCCTCTTTCTGTAGTGTTGGCAGGGAGGCCTCTGTGGATTAGTATGTTGTTCAGAGGTATTTTGGAAATATTCCTTGAGACGGAGACGTCGAAAATAGGATTCTAGGTCACCACAGAACTGTATCATGTTCGTGGGGGTGGAGGGGCAGAAGGAGAGGCCCCGAGATAGAACAGCTGCTTCTGCTGGGCTGAGAGTATAGTTGGACAGGTTAACAATATTGCTAGGTGGGGTGAGGGAACCATTGCTGTGGCCCCTTGTAGCATGTAGTAGTTTAGAAAGTTTAGTGTCCTACAAAGATGGATTACAAGCCGTCAAGAACACTATCCCCGATAATGTCACGGCTAACCTGGTGGCTGAACTTTGTGACTTTGTCCTTACCCATAACTATTTTACATTTGGGGACAACGTATACCTTCAGATCAGCGGCACTGCTATGGGTACCCGCATGGCCCCACAGTATGCCAACATTTTTATGGCTGATTTAGAACAACGCTTCCTCAGCTCTCGTCCCCTAAAGCCCCTACTCTACTTGCGCTATATTGATGACATCTTCATCATCTGGACCCATGGAAAAGAAGCCCTTGAGGAATTCCACCATGATTTCAACAATTTCCATCCCACCACCAACCTCAGCCTGGTCCAGTCCACACAAGAGATCCACTTCCTGGACACTACAGTGCTAATAAACAATGGCCACATAAACACCACCCTATACCCGAAACCTACTGACCGCTATTCCTACCTGCATGCCTCCAGCTTTCACCCTGACCTCACCACACGATCCATCGTCTACAGCCAAGCTCTGTGATACAACCGCATTTGCTCCAACCCCTCAGACAGAGACAAACACCTACAAGATCTCTGTCAAGCTTTCTTACAACTACAATACCCACCTGCAGAAGTAAAGAAACAGATTGATAGAGCCAGAAGAGTTCCCAGAAGTTACCTACTACAGGACAGGCCTAACAAAGAAAATAACAGAACGCCACTAGCGGTCACCTTCAGCCCCCAACTAAAACCCCTCCAACGCATTATTAAGGATCTACAACCTATCCTAAAGGATGACCCAACACTCTCACAAGTCTTGGGAGACAGGCCAGTCCTTGCCTACAGACAGCCCCGCAACCTGAAGCAAATACTCACCAACAACCACATACCACACAACAGAACCACTAACCCAGGAACTTATCCTTGCAACAAAGCCCGTTGCCAATTGTGCCCACATATCTATTCAGGGGACACCATCACAGGGCCTAATAACATCAGCCACACTATCAGAGGTTCGTTCACCTGCACATCCACCAATGTGATATATGCCATCATGTGCCAGCAATGCCCCTCTGCCATGTACATTGGTCAAACTGGACAGTCTCTACGTAAAAGAATAAATGGACACAAATCAGATGTCAAGAATTATAACATTCATAAACCAGTCGGAGAACACTTCAATCTCTCTGGTCACGCAATCACAGACATGAAGGTCGCTATCTTAAAACAAAAAAACTTCAAATCCAGACTCCAGCGAGAAACTGCTGAATTGGAATTCATTTGCAAATTGGATACTATTAATTTAGGCTTAAATAGAGACTGGGAGTGGCTAAGTCATTATGCAAGGTAGCCTGTTTCCTCTTGTTTTTCCTACCCCCCCCCCCCCCCCCCAGATGTTCTGGTTTAACTTGGATTTAAACTTGGAGAGTGGTCAGTTTAGATGAGCTATTACCAGCAGGAGAGTGAGTTTGTGTGTGTATGGGGGTGGGGGGGATGTGAGAAAACCTGGATCTATGCAGGAAATAGCCCGACTTGATTATGTAAAGAGTTGTCACTTTGGATGGGCTAGCACCAGCAGGAGAGTGAATTTGTGTGGGGGGGTGAAGGGTGAGAAAACCTGGCTTTGTGCTGGAAATGGCCCACCTGTTGATCACTTTAGATAAGCTATTACCAGCAGGACAGTGGGGTGGGAGGAGGTATTGTTTCATATTCTCTGTGTGTATATAAAGTCTGCTGCAGTTTCCACGGTATACATCTGATGAAGTGAGCTGTAGCTCACGAAAGCCCATGCTCAAATAAATTGGTTAGTCTCTAAGGTGCCACAAGTACTCCTTTTCTTTTTGCGAATACAGACTAACACGGCTGTTCCTCTGAAACTTTTCCTCTTAAATAACTAGTACCAGTCACTGATAGACTGGACACTATACTAGATGGACCATCATTCTGATCCAGTCTGGCAACTCTTATGTTCCCATGGGAATGTTTGCAGTCACTATATCTCCAGTAGCCAGGAAAGGCTCTCTCACACCTGCCCTGCTTTAAGAGAATGACATACCTGAGGTCATTAGGAGTTGTTGGAGTTTCTCCACGTTGCCCCTGCTAGCCTCGTAGTGAAGATCTGTCTATCTGTAATTGTAGCTTGGAGACACCTGATAATGTCTTGGGGGTGACTGGGAGTCCAGCCACAGACAGCTCTGGACAAGGAGCTGATGTAGAAGCCCATCTCCTTCACCTGAAGAAATCTCTCTCAATAACCACTATCCACCTACACTAACAAAGAGAAAATAGGGCACACTCAGGAGAAAGTACGTTAGCTCTAACATTCTCCACCTCCCTCCATTACACCCTGTGACCTCCATGTGGGGTAGATTCAGGTTAACAGCAATGTTCCCTCTAATTTTTGACAGGTCGTGTGCACAAAAAATTTCTTCTGTGCTAATTTTTGTTAGGCCATGTGCGCAAAAAATTTCTTCTGTGCTAATTCTTGTTAGGCCATGTGCGCAAAAAATTTCTTCTGTGCAAACTGTTGTGCTTCTGTGCAAATTTTTGTGCACGCAGTGTTTCACTGTGTGCGCGGGACTTAGGACCTGTGTGTGCACGCACACGTGCACAGCTTAGAGGGAACAGTGGTTAACAGGATTTCCTGGCTTTAGACGTTAGCTAGCAAAAGAAATAAGGCATCTACAAGGATGACAAGAGACAAAGGGGAATTTAATTAGACTTCAATACAATGGCCTGAGCTTCCCTTAATAGTGTGGGGACATGTGTAATTCTGTGGGCAAGTTAATGACAGAAAAGTAAGGAAAGTGTCACTTGCTTTGTAAAAATCTACAGAATCATAATTTCAGTGGTGTCACCCTTTGCAGTGTGGCAGGGGGACTCTCTGTCCCCCTTCCTCCCTGGCTCCAGATCCTCCAGTTGGTAGAAATTTTGATAATACAACATTGTTGGAAATGGATCAAGTTGGGGTCTCATTCAAAAGCCCTTTCTCACATGAACACAATGATACCAAACATGACAAACTTAGAACAATTATGGAGACAGACAGTTGAGAAAATGTTTTAAAATCAGTTGTTTTAACTACGCTTTAACACAGGCATGTCAAACATGCAGCCCTAACAAAGTTAATTTGTGGCCTTCGACTGACAGTACTGTGTTATAGTTAATGCTCACAAATGATACTTGATTAATTTTCTTAATGTTACAATTATTATAAATGGAAAGAGTACTTCAAGTTGATTTACCATCTGTCAGGATTCCACACACCCCACTCTGAACTCTGGGGTACAGATGTGGGGACCCGCATGAAAGACTCCCAAGCTTATTTTCTACTAGCTTAGGTTAAAAACTTCCCAAGGCACAAATTCCTTTGCTTGTCCTTGGATGGTATTGCTGCCACCACCAAGTGATTTACACAAAAATTCAGGGGAGGGTCACTTGGAATCTCTATCCCCCCAAAATAGCCCCAACCCCCTTCACCCCCTTTCCTGGGGAGGCTTGAGAATAATATACCAACTAATTGCCTTAGAATGTGAGTACAGACCAAACCCTTATCTTTAGGACACTAAAATCAATCAGGTTCTTAAAAGAAGAACTTTATTAAAAAAAATAAAAGTAAAAGAATCACACCTGCAAACTCAGGATGTAAGGTAACTTTACAGGGTAATAAAAAGATTTAAAAGACAGAGGACTCATCTCTGGACTCAGCTTCACAGTTACAAAAAAAGGAATGAAACTACCTCTTTAGCATAGGGAAAATTCACAAGCCACAACAAAAGATAACTAACGCATTTCCTTGCCTTACTTACAATTTTTGTAATTTTAGATGGTTCATTTCAGGTATGTTTTCAGGAGATGTTGTACCTGCCTGGTCTCTCTCTCCATCCAGAGAGGGAACAAACAAAGAGAGCCACAAACAAAACCTCCCCGCCCCAGATTTGAAAGTATCTTCTTTCCTCATTAGTCCTTCTGGTCAGGTGCCAGCTAGATTATTTGAGCTTCTTAACCCCTTACAGGTAAAGTGATTCATTACAGCTGCCCAGGAGGGATTTTATGTTACCTTTATCTCTATGTTTATGACACAATCATTGACAAAAAAGAACCAGTTCAGTGATATTTATCAGCTTTCTTTACTGTGCCAAAAGAGTTATGATTAGGCTCTGGTTGTCACATTGTCTGGAGTGGTTCACGTCCAATATCAGGGCACACTGTCTAAAAGCAGGGAAGACATGCCAAACTCATTATATGCTCTAAAATTTGACTTCACTAACCCAGTAACAAATGTGAACTCCTGAAGCACTATAAACAGTCTAATCATGGAGTCACAAACAGTCCCTTTGGGCACTCTAGTCTATCTTGCCACCCAGGCAAGCTGGATTTAGCAACAGTTGTTTGCCATATACCAAAGATCACAAAAGATTCAGGTTGTTTCCAGTCCCAAGAGACCAGTCACTTACCCCAGGTCAATTTGTACTTCAGTTCTCACACCAAAGACAACGCTTGTAGCCAATCCTATAGTAAACTAACTAAAGATTTATTAACTAGGAACAAGAAATATGAGAGTTATTCACAGGTTAAAGCAGACAACGTATATACATGAGTTACAATCCAGCGTTCCAAAAGGTGAGCATTGTAGTAATCTGTCAGCACTGAATGTCTTTTAGGGTTAATCCAGGTTGGCTCTCGGGATCTCTGCTTTTGTTTCCTAACTCCAGCCATCTCAGAGTACAAACAGCAAAGAGATGAAGAATTTTCCTGTCAGCTATTTTTATTTCCTTCTTCCAGAATTCAAGCTGATGGGAGGAGCTTTCTTGCACATACCACCTTCATGGGTGTGAAAGAGCCATTAACCTAGTCTTTGTCTCGTGATGTTCCACAACGGCCCACAGTTCCTCTGGATGGGTGGGGGAAACCACTTCTCCTCTGCCTGGGTTCACAAGTCCAGAGATGGCATTTTTACTGGTATAAAGCAAAACTTGCATACTACCTTACAGCACTAGATACAGACATTACAAGTAAGATTAATGCATGCAGCAACTTACAAGCAGTTTACAGAGTGTAAACATTAAACACATCTTTACAAGTCTAACACCTAGCTTGAATAATACTAAGAAAGGTGAGTTGCTCTGGTTGCCAGCTATGAATTTGACAATGTTCAGCTGACACTTACAGCCTTGGCAAGAGCAAGCACCTGGTCCGTGAACGGTATTCATGTAGTTATAGAATATACATTCCTTACCATAATTAATTACAATTCCAAAGTAATTGATTACAAAATCAGTTTTTACTTTGGTCTTGATCATTTTTAGGCCTCCATGGGAAGATGAAGAGTACCAATTAGCAGCTGAATCTTTGGAGAATACCAGCATGGAGGACCTGTTTAACAAAATGCTTGGTGGCACTCTACATAAAAAGTGCACCTAAACTGAATTTGGGAAGGTTAGAGAGGAAGTACGTCAAGCATCAGGAAAAAGGTTGAATATGCTAGGAAGAAGAGCAGCTGTGGGTGAGACTCGCCTTATACTAGGGTCCCATGGCATGTGTTCACGAGGGACACCTGCTTCTTCTATCGTAAGCTGGAAGCCCAGAGGCATCCAGTCAGTACAGCTTCAACACATAAGACAAGTGAGAAACTGTATGAAGTAATCACTCTTAGCGATAACATTTCATGAAAAAAATAAAATAAAATGGTTACCTATCTTTTTTAACTGTTGTTCTTTGACATGTGTTACTCATGTCTAAGGCTGCGAATCATTCACAGAGATCACGACTTCCGTGACTTTCCGTGACCTCCGTGAATTTTGCAGCACTGGTGCAGCTGACCCCAGGACCACCCCAGCAGCTGCAGAAGCCTGGGGGCCAGCAGCACGAGCTGCTGCTCTGGCAGCCCCAGGCACCTATCCCCGGTGCTGCCCTGGAACAGCGGTCCGGGACCAGCAGTGGTGACCCTGGCCGCTCCCCACCCAGAGTGGCAACAGAACCATGGGCCACTCCTCGCCTGGACTAGCGGTGGTGGCGGCAGGGCCCCAGGCCACCCCTTACCTGGAGCGGGAGCAGCAGCAGGGCCCCAGGGCCTCCAGCAGCAGCAGCAGGGGGCCACGGGCCACCCCCTACCTGGAGCGGGAGCAGCAGCAGGGCCCCACGCCCACCAGCAGCAGTGGCAGGGGGCCCCGGGCCATCCCCACCAGCAGCAGGGGCCCCAGGCCACCCCCCAGCAGAAGCATCGCTCCACGCTGCTGCCCACCCCAACAGCAGTCTTCAGGAACACCCCACTCCCAGAAGGTAAGATTTAGTCATAGGTATTTTTAGCAAAAGCCATGGACAGGTCACCGGGCCATGACTTTTTGTTTATTGCCCGTGACCTGTTACTAAAAATATATGTGACTAAAATGTAGCCTCACTCATGTCCATTCCAAGTAGATGTGTGCCTGCCGGATGCTCAGTTGCCGGAAGGCTTTTCCCTTAGTGGTACCCATCGGGTTGGCTGTGGAGTCCCCTGGAGTTGCACTTTCATGGAGGTGTATGTATATAGGTCCTTGCTGATCCGCCGCCTCTTCTGTTCCTTCTTGCCGGATACTCTGACAGAGAGGAGACGGGTGGGTCTTGGAATGAACATGAGCAACACATCTCGAAGAACAACAGGTAAAACCGTTTTTCTTCTTCAAGTGATTGCTCATGTCGCGTCCAAGTAGGTGAATCCCAAGCAATCCCCAGGAGGGGTCAGACTTCACCAAGTCACAGGCCGCAGCAGCACTCTGCCAAATGCAGCACTGTCTCCAGCCTGCTGTGTGATGGTGCAGTGCAACGTAAAGGTGTGAACAGACGACCATGTTGCCGCCCTGCAGATGTCTTGAATTGGAACCTGCGCCAGAAATACTGCAGATGAAGCTTTCACTTTTGTGGAATGCGCCGTTAATGCTGGGGCCAGTATCTTTGCTAGGTTTTACCACGCCCTGATACAAGCTGTGATCCACGAAGAGATCTTTTGGAACGACACTGGGAGCCCCTTCATCAGCTCAGCAATCGCAATAAAGAGGTGTGTCAATTTCTGAAATGGCTTTGTTCGCTCAATATAAAAGGCTAACACTTGTCTGACATCCAGGGAATGGAGCACCCGTTCCTGGTTATTAGGATGTGGCTTAGGGAAGAACACTGGCAGAAAAATGTCCTGATTTGCGTGAAATTGCTAAATTATCTTTGTGAGGAAAGCTGGGTGCAGCCACAACTGCACCTTGTCTTTATAAAACACAATATAAGTGGGATCGG